TTCAGGGAACTACTTATTAGTCTGCATAATGGGAGGCCTGTATGCAGTGAAGGAAAGGTGTTTATGAGGAAATTTCAGTAGAGGTATATTAGCATGACATTATGCAACTATCTTCCTTGCTCTAATAGATAATGGACTGCCATTAAAGCATTTTATACGTAGAGAAAAGATGATCAGATTTGTGTTTAAGACTACCAAGAAGATGCAGGTGAGGTTGTGGAGAAATAGGAACACTTTTACACTGTTGGTGGGAATGTAAATTAGTTCAACCATTATGGAAGACAGTATGGGGATTCCTCAAGGATCTAGAACCAAAAATACCATTTGACCCAGCAATCCCATTACTGGTATATACCCAAAGGAATATAAATCATTCTACTATAAAGACACATGCACACATATGTTTATTGCAGTACTATTTACAATAGCAAAGACAGGGAGCCAACCCAAATGCCAATAGACTGGATAAAGAAAATGTGGTATATATACAACACCGAACACTATACTGCCATAAAAAAGAATGAGTTCATGACCTTTGCAGGGACATGGATGAAACTGGAAGCCATCATTCTCAGCAAACTAACACAGGAACAGAAAACCAAACACTGCGTGTTGTCACTCATAAGTGGGAGTTGAACAATGAAAACACACAGACACAGGGAGGGGAAAAAGACACACTGGGGCCTGTTGAGGGGTAGGGGGTGAGAGGAGGGAAAACAATAGGACAAATAGCTAATGCATATGGGGCTTAAAACCTAGATGATGGGGGCTGGCCACAGTGGCTCACATCTATAATCGCAGCAGTTTGGGAGGCCGAGGTGGGCAGATCACCTGAGGTTGGGAGTTTGAGATCAGCCTGACCAATATGGAGAAACCCTGTCTCTACTAAAAATAGAAAATTAGCTCAATATGGTGGTGCATGCCTGTAATTCCAGCTACTTGGGAGGCTGAGGCAGGAGGGGGAGGTTGGGGTGAGCCGATATTGCACCATTGTACTCCAGCCTGGGCAACAAGAGTGAAACTCCACCTTGGAGAAAAAAAAAAACCAACAGCGTCCTTGAAATTAAAAATACAATACTAATGAGAAACTCAATAACCTGAAACTTTCCTTGATACTGCACTGATGCACTTCTTCCTGGGCTGATTTTAATATACGCCCTCTTCCTGTAATGAACTGTAAGCATGAGTATAATGGCTTTCCTGAGTTGTGTAAGTCCTTCTCATGAATTATTGAAACTGAGGGTGATCTTGGAGACTCCCGGGCTTGCAGTTTCTGTCATAAATGAGGGTAGTCTTAGAGACACCTAAATGATTTATACTTAGGCTTGTATCTGGGTGTCAATAGGGCTGTATTCCTTCTGGAGGTTCTAAGGGAATATCAATTTCCTTGATTTTTCCGGCTTCTACAGGCCACCTGCATTCTTTGGCCTTTAAACAACACAAATTTGTCACTGTTCTGGAGGTATACGTCCAAAAAGGGTCCTACTGGCCTAAAGTCAAGGTTCTTTCTGGAGACTCTATAGGACAATCCATTTCCATGTCTTACCTGGCTTCTTGAGACTCAAGAGATCTAATGTTTGAGAAACATGAAGAGAATTCCCAGTATCATCTGGAAGGGACAGCCCATGCCAGTAGCTAAGGTTCAGACAGAGACTAACTACGAGCAAGTTGACAAATCCAAGAGCAGTTTCTTTAAAGAGCTGAAATGAATAGCATGTAATCTAGAGCCAACTGCCTGGGTCTTATTCCTGGCTTTGTTATTGAGGAGCTGTGTGATCTTGGGCAAATTACCTCTCTCTTAACAGATTTCCTCCTCTGTGAAATGAGAATAATGATTATAGATAGCTGTCTTTGTTTAGCATTGCTATGAAAGAATACGTGAGCCTGGGTAATTTATTTAAAAACAAGATGTTTATTTGGCTCATGCTTCTGCAGGCTGTGCAAGAGGCATGGCATCAGCATCTGCACCTGGGGAGGGCCTTCAAGCTGTTTCCACTCATGGCATAAGGGGAAGAGAAGCCGGTGTGTGCAGAGATCATATGGCAAGAGAGGAAGAAAGAGAGAGCGAATTGGAGGTGGCAGGGTGTAGGAAAAGATGTGTAGTAAAGACCATCTGAGAGCACTTTAAACCATGGAACGTTGCAGTGTGGTTGCAGAGCAAGAAAAACTGCTTTGGTCCCACATCTCTTCCCAACACTGAGTTTGCATGAGGGTCTCTTAAAGAGGGCTTGTGCAAGAACCCTGGGAAGGAATGCAACCTCTGCTCATAAGACTCGGGAGGGTCTTTACAGATGGGAGCTTACAGGACAGGAAAGTCTTGCAGGGCAGAGATCACCGGAATGCCACATATTCTGCCTATGCTCTCAGAATATGGAGTAATTCTGATTGCTCTGTGTCCACAATGCTTGGGAGGTAAAAACCCCTTGATGTATTGTGTGTGGTCAGACCTTATGGTGCCTTATCCACTATGCCTCTTTGCCAATGCACCTGGATAGACAATGGGTGGTAAAAACTCAGTGTCCTTAGTATTTCTTAGAAGAACCACATTTGCTATTGAATGCTGTAGACACATGCTCTTCCCCCAGCTGTCTTCCTTCTTAACCCCCTTCCCCACAGCCCGCAAGATTAACAAGATAATGCACCCAATAAAAAGCGTGTGGAGCCCAGAGCTCCATGCCAATGTGGATCACCCCGTGTGAGAATGCGTTGGACCCCTGGACCCAGGCTGTGAACTTCTATTCTTGTCTCTGTCTTACTTCTTTTCTCACTCCCTAGTCACCGCTGGGACACGGGGCACCCACGTACAGGGTTGCGTTGGTTCCCAACAGCAGGGTCTTCTCAACAACCAACCCTCATGGATCTCATAAGATTGAGAACTCACCACCTCCTCAGAGAGGGCATTAATCTATTCATGAGGGATCTGTCACGACCCAAACACTTCACATTCTGCCCTACTTCCACATGGGGATCAAACTTCTCTTTTGTTTTTAAAATTTCTTTTTATTTATTTAAGAGATAAGGTCTTGCTATATTATCTAGGCTGATCTCAAACTCCTGGCCTCAAGTGATCCTCCCACCTTGGCTTCCTGAGTAGCTGGAATTACACACAAGCCACCACACCCGGTTCTGGGGATCAAATTTCAGCATGAGATTTGGAGAGGATAAATATCCAAACTATAGCAATAACTCACAGGGGTTGTGACTAAATTAGTTAATAGAGAAAGAATGCTTATAGTGCCTGGCATATAGTAATCACTACATTAATGTTTATATTACTTCAATTATTATATATTGAGAAGATATTGGGAAGAAAGATGAATTAGTGATATGTATAATATATATCGTACATGTATATATGGAAAACAAAAAAATAATTAAGCCAGACATTTATTAATTTCAGGTAAAACAAAAAGCACTGCATAAAAAGTATATGGCCCACTTGTGAATATTGTTAAAATATAATCATCATAATAAAATACGGCTTATTGATTTACCCCAAATTATGATATACCCATATTAGGCCATGTGTGTGATGGCTCATGCCTGTAATTCCAGCACTTAGGGAGGCCTAGGTGGGTGGATCGCTTGAGCCCAGGAGTTCTAGACCAGCCTGGGCAACATGATGGAATCCTATCACTACTAAATAAATAAATAAATAAATACCCATATTAGAAGGAGGGTACCTGAGAAATGTGCACGTGCGTATTGAGGGCCTGAGTGTCTGAAAGAGAGCTAATTCCTTATTTTCCATTGTGTTGTCTGTAGATAAATACTTAAAACTGAAAGCCTAGAAATAGTAATACAAACATGCTATTTAGACATATGAAAGAAAACAGCAAAAGATACTAAACTGAGTTCAAAGTGATTACCTTTGAGAAGCTGAAATTTGAAGGTGAAGAGAGTAGATGACAACTGTTTTTTTTCTAAAAAGCCCCAAAAAACGATCTGACTAAGTAAATATAAGTAAAACCTTCATGACATTCAAAATGAAATACTTACTTTTAAAAGTTAAAATGCAAAGGACAAAGAGGTAGTTATACTTGAACAAAACATATAAGACTATGCTTAATGTATGAAGTCCTCCGTTAACAATCAATAAACTGGATTCCACTCCTGGAAAGACAGAGTAGATGCAGTTGTCTCGACTCACCCTGTTAAGTTTACCTACAAACCAAAGACATTATTCATCAAACCAACATATGGAGACTCTGAATGGTAAAGAAAAAAAGGCACCCTGGCTAGGGGCCTCAGGAACCAGGGAACTAAACAGTAATGAGTTCTCCGTATCTTTTGGCCTATATAGATAGCTTTGACCAGTTGTTCGAAAAACCTACAATGCAGAAACACCAACAAATGTATACAAAAAGGCCCGGAAAAAAGTGCTGTCTTTAGCCAAAAACCAGGAAAAGGTCAACAGAGAAAAATAAAAAAACTTTTACACAAAACCTATTCCATCCAAACACCACAGATGATAAAACAACAAAAACTGTGGGCTTGATTCATCTCTTACCAGCAAAGACTCAGTGGGTAGCCTAGGCTCCTGTATTTGCCTGGCTTTCTTGGGATGTCCCTCCACTGCAGTAGGGTAGGATGAGAAAAAGCCAAATGGGGAGCTGGGACTTTTATTTCTGCCCCATGGTACTGGGTAGCTTTCCTGCCATGCCAGTGGGAGCCACATCAGGGCTGGACTTTCATTCCTAGCTAGCAGTAATGAGACACTCTTCCCATCACCAAAGGTATGGTGTGAGAAGAGGCCAAGTGAAAATCCAAGACCTTCATCCCTCTGAGAGGTAATTAGGCCCCATCCACCCTAACAATATCAGAGAAGACAGCATGAAGAGCAGAAACAAGGTACCCTCTCCTTCTTTCAGACAAGGTGATGTCACCAGAAGCTTACTGGGGAGCCCGAACTATCAATCCCACCTAGCAGTAATGAGGTGTCTTTCTCCCCAACAACTGTTGTTAGAGTTCAAGCAGGGAACCTGCAAATTCACACCCACCTGGCAGTAATACAGCAAGGCTCCCCAATTCCCCACTGGCCCAGAGGACGCCTGCTAAAAGAAAAGACTCAAATAAGATCTAGAGTCTCATAATGCCCAAGGTTTCCACAAGACATTAGAAAATCGTTTGTATAACCAAGAACCAGAAAAACCTCAACTTGAATAAGGAAATGACCAATCAACAGATGCTAAAACTGAAGTGATGCATGTATTGGAATCATTTCATAAGGATTTTAAAGTAGTCCTCATAAAAATGTTTTAACAAGCATATGAACACACTTGAAATAATTGAAAAAAATTTCAACAAAAGAGAAGAGGTGAAGAAACTAAATGAAAATTTTAGGACTAAAAAAAATAACCAACATTAAAACTCAATAGATGGGCTCAAAATAATGGAGACAACAGAAGAACTATTCTGAGTACCTGCAAATAAAATAGAAATGATCTAATCTAAAGAATGGAGAGAAAACAGAGTGAGATAAAAATGAACAGAACCTCAGAGACATGTGGGACAATAACAAAAAATCTAACATTTGTCTTAGTGGAGTTCCAGAAAAAGAAGAGAAAGGAATGGGGGCTGAACAAGAATTTGAAGAAATGATGAATGAAAATTTCTGAAACTTCCAAAAAGATATACACTTACAGATAGAAGCTGAACAAATCCCAAAAAGGATAAAACCAAAGAAATTCGCACTAAGAAAGAATCATAGTAAACATCTGAAAACTACAGACAAAGAAAGAATGCTGAAAGCATTCAGAGAGAAACTACACATCACCTATGGGAGAAAAACAAATTGAATGACAGTGTGTGATACTAATAACAATGGCTCCCCAAAGATGTTCACATCCTAATTCCCAGAAATTGTGAATGTAAGGCCGGTTGCCTCGCTGGGAGCTCAGACACGCCCATCCCTCTCCATGCCTGAAATTACGTCACCAGAATCTGCACTCAGCATTTAGCTTCGCCACGCCCACCTCTGCACTCAACACTAAACTCTGCACTTGGCACCTAGCCTGTCCTTGGAAATCCCCTCTGCACTCAGCACCAGGATCTGCACTCCACACTAAACTCTGCACTTGGCACCTAGCCAGCCGTTGGAAAAACCCCGCCAAAATTTAAAAGAAGCCCCCACAAAACCTGCCCAATAGCGTATGGTCCCATCCAGCCCGCTCACCGGAAATCCCGCCTACCTACCTATAGCAGCTCGCTACATCGACGTCCTGTTCTCCACAGCCAATCAGAGTGCCTTCCCTCCCTATGAAACCCCACGCCCAGAAGAGTCGGGCATGACTTCCCTGGCCTCTTCCCCTGGGACCACAGAATCTTGCCCAGGAGCCGAATAAATTGGTGTCTAATTGTTCTCATGCAGGCCTCAGTATCCTCATTTTAAACTTGGCAATAAACCTTACAGAGAATAAATCTTACAGTGAATATGTTAGGTTACATGGCAAAAGAGAATTCAGGTTTCAGATCAAATCTAGGTGGCTAATCCACTGTCCTTAAAATAGGGAGATTAATTATCTTGGATAATCTGGGTGGGCTGAATATAATCACAAATTTTTTTTTAAAGTTAAAGCAGGAGGCAATAAAAGAGAGTCATAGAAAGATGCAATTACAAAAGAGTGGTCAGAGAGATACAATGTTGATGGTTTTGAAGTTGGAGGAAGGGGCTACAAACTGAAATATGAGCACCCAATAGAAGCTAGAAAAGCCATAGAAAATAGAAATAGATAGATTCTTTCTTACACCCTGTAGAAAGGACTACTGTCCTCTTGACACCTTGATTTTAGCTCAGTGAGACCCATGCTGGCTTTCTAAAATATAGAACTGTAAAAAAAAAATGTGTTATTTTAAGCAACTAAATTTGTGATAAGTTATTACAGCAGCAATAGAAAATTAACATGCAGTAAACAAACAAAAATGATAAAAGAATCTGTCACATCAGGAAGAAAGAACGATAGAAAGAATAAAAATATTGGTAAATAGAAAAGATTTCACTGCTATATCTTACTGCTAAGAAAACACAAACTATACACAATCTCTGGCAGAATAATCAATATAAAAGAACACATGGACTGAGGTGAGTCCTCCAAAAATTCATGTTTAGGCCCTAATCCTAATGTAACTGTATTTGGAGATAGGGCTTTTAAGAAGTAATTACGGTTAAATGAGGTAGGGGTCCTAATCTGGTAAGACAGGTGGCCTTATAGAGAGAGATTCTCTCTCCATAGGCAGGCAGGCAGTCACTGGGGAAAGGCCTGTGAGCATACAGTGAGAAGGTTTCCTTCTACAAGCCAGGAAGACAGCCCTCATCAGAACCTGACCATGCTTGCACCCTGATCTTTGAGTTCTAGCCTTCCAATACATTTTTGTTGTTTAGTCCACCCACTCTATGGTACTCCGTTATGGCAGCCTGAGCTGACTAAGACAACCACCACCAACCCTGCACATATAAATTTGACAGCTTAGATGAAAGAGACCAGTTCCTGAAAACACACAAACTACCACAACCCTCTCAATATTACATAGACAATGTAAATAGCCCTATAACTCTTAAAGAAACTGAGCTTTTAATCTTAAAACTTCCAAAAAAGAAATCTTTAGGCCCAGATAGTTTCTCTGGAGAATTCTACCAACTATGTAAAGAATTAACATAATTAACATCAATTCTATACAGTTTTTTTCCCCAGAAAACAGGAGAAAAGGGAATACTTCCCAGTTTATTATGTGAGGCTATGATTTCCCTGACACAAAAATTGGACAAGGTACAGAAAAAGAAAACACAAACCATCCACAATTTCTGGCAGAATAATCAATATAAAAGAACACATTCCAACTTATGAGGCCAGGGTTATCCTGATACCTAAACCAGAAATAGTACCAAAAGAAGAAAGAAAGAAGAAAAGAAAAGAAAGAAAAGGAAAAAGAAAGAGTGATACCCTTCATAAATATGATACAAAAATCCTTAACAAAATATTAGTAAATATAAATAATTTAAAAGTATATACCACAATCAAGTGGAGTTTATTCCACAGATGCAAGGCTGGTTCAATATTCAAAAATCAATCAATGTACTCTACCAAACCAACAGACTCAAGAAGTAAAATCACATGATCACATCAGTTGGTACGGAAAAAGCATTTAACAAAATTCAACTCCCATTCATGATAAAACCTCAACAAGATTGTTTCAGAAAGTAGTCTTTGGACAAGGAGCACTGATATTCTGTGGAAATTTGTGAGAAATAAAAATTCTCATATTCCATCCCATATCTACTAAATCAGAATCTGAATTCAAATGCAAGTAAAGTGTCAGAAGCACTTTTCTCTAAGACAAAAACAGAAAAACTGTTAGTGCTCCTTCCTTCCTCCCTCCCTCCCTTCCTCCCTTCCCTCCTCCCTCCTTTCTTCCCTCCCTTCCTTCCTCCCTTCCTCCCTTCCTTCTCTCTCTCTCTCTCTCTTTTTTTCTTTCTTGAGACAGAGTTTCGCTCTTGTCGCCCAGGCTGAAGTGCAATGGCACAATCTCGGCTCACTGCAACCTCCAACTTCCAAGTTCGGGCAATTATCCTGCCTCAGCCTTCTGAGTAGCTGGGATTACAGGTGCCCGCCAACATGCCTGGCTAAATTTTGTATTTTTAGTGGAGACGGGGTTTCACCATGTTAGCCAGGTTGGTCTCGAACTCCTGACCTCAGGCGATCCACCCACCTTGGCCTCCCAAAGTGCTGGGATTACAGGTGTGAGCCACCGAGTCTGGCCTGTTGGTGCACTTTCAACAGGGTTACTGTTGAAGACTGTTCTGTCATTATCCATCTGAAGATCTCTCAAAAAGTTTCTCAAACATCAAGAACCATGATAAATTACTTGTTAACAATATAAACCATGTATCCAATTTCCATTATTGCTATGTCTTTCAGGAAGAGCAGAGACAATTTAACAGTTCAAAGTTCATAACCATGTAAGACCATATATTCTAAACTTGACCTGGGTTGACAGTCTCTTCTTCATTTTCTCTGATCTTAGTTTTTATTTATCTAGTCTTGTCATCTTACTATAGGGATGGTTAGATGTCTCCTAAATCCACTAAAAGTAAAAGAAAGCAACAAATAAATAGATGAACAAATAAGAACTCACCAAGGACTTGGTCATTTTTGGCTCTTCGGACAAAGGGGCAGAGATCTGAGAAAACAGATGGGCAGAGGTACAGATGAGAGGTGGAAGTGTACCAGTGTCACACATGGACACATACATCAGTTAGTGCCCATGCACCTTACTTAAAAATTTATTTCTAGAGCTACAACATTAAAATATCATCCCATTGCATACTGTACAAAGATTTAAGTGCAAAAGTTTTACCATAACATGGTTTATAAAAAAGAAATTTTATAGCTTTCTCAATTTCTTGAAGAAAAAAAAAAAAAAAAAAAGATTAGAAACATTTAAATATTCAATAATTGTGGACTGCTTAACTACTTTATAAAATATCCAAAGGACATACTGTTCTATTACATTACCATACTATCTGATTTCACAGGCCCTTTAAGTTATCACCAACCCGGGTACACAACTCCTCATTCTCACTCTTTAATCTGCTCTAAGTGTCAATTCCTACCCAGTGATTCTACTCCCAAAGCCATTAATGAAATCTCAGATTCACTGATTCCCATGCCTTGCTGCCCATGAGCCCTGAATCATTCATCCTTCAATTCCTGATCAGAGAGCCTTCAATTCCTCTACTCTAATGGTCCTGGCTCCCTACCAATCAATCCCATGTCCCCATGACTGGCCTCCATGCCTGTATCTCCGTCAGACATCCTAAGAGTCCCAGTCCTAGGCACACCTGTACCTGCACTGGGGCCTTAGCACACAAACACATCTCCCATCGCTGACAAAACTAGGCCATAAACTCCTCCACACACGCAAACAGGAACTCAATCAACAAACAAATCTGGGGAAATTATTGAATACATAGGATAAATTTATAAATAGAAAACACTTCTAATCTAAGTGTGGAAAACCAGACTATTCACAGAGAAAGAATGAAGGAAATAAGAAAACTCTTCATTTGCAGTACTGAAAATGAAATGTTGTCAGAAATAGCAACTGAAAGACCACTCTTCTGCCAGGGCGAGAGAGACATTTTCAGAAATAAAAGCACTTGCAGAGTATCTATATCTTTGAGAGAAATACCGAAAGAAGTAGTCCAAATAAATGTGAAATGAATCTCATGAGAAATCTTCAATAGGAAAACACTGTTCAGTAATAATTCTTGCAAAATATATATAAATACAAAAAAGGACAATGTGACAATGTGATAAAGAGGCCACTAAAGAGAAAATAATACCCTACGATAAAACATTCCTAATAATCTCAGGAAAAAACAGAAAAAAATGGGGTGCAGAATTGAAACACTGAGCAGAAATTTCATCCATCCAATCAAAATATATAAAGAAAAGGCAGAAAATAAAAAGAGCTAAATAGTGAACATCAAATGGAAGGCATACAATCAGATAAATCATTATTACAATAAATAGAGGTAAAATTCTATCAACAGAGACGATAAGTTGGATTTGAAAACAACAAAGGTATCTTATTGTAAACAAATAGGTAATCTAACATAGAAACAGATATGGATACAAAATAAAGCTCTGGGCAAAGACACATCATCCAAATGCAATAAAAGTAAAAACGGGTGGCCGTGTAAGTATCAACGTGGAATTCGATGTTAAAAAGTGTTTTTCTTTCTTCTTTTTGGTTGAAAAAAGGGATCCTATAATAATAATAGCATTTAATAAATGAAAAAGGATTTAAAAAGTCCATTAACCGTAGGTGTATGTATGCCCGTCCCTCAGATACACAAATAAAATTAGCAAAAAAACACATATAACTGCCAAGTGAACTGTTAAAGTAAGAGATTTTTTTTTTTTTTTTTTTTTTTTGAGACGGAGTTTCGCTCTTGTTACCCAGGCTGGAGTGCAATGGCGCGTTCTCGGCTCACCGCAACCTCCGCCTCCCGGGTTCAGGCAATTCTCCTGCCCCAGCCTCCTGAGTCGCTGGGATTACAGGCACGCGCCACGATGCCCAGCTAATTTTTTGTATTTTTAGTAAAGACGGGGTTTCACCATGTTGACCAGGATGGTCTCGATCTCTTGACCTCGTGATCCACCCGCCTCGGCCTCCCACAGTGCTGGGATTACAGGCTTGAGCCACCGCGCCCGGCCAGTAAGAGATTTTTATTACATCTCTTCCAGAGTATGAAACAAGTAGATCAAAATTAGGAAAGATAAAGATTTGAAGAATACAAACAAACAAGACTTAATTAAAGATAATTTTACCCCATACAACAAAATATACTTTTCCTCTTATATCTGTTGAACAAAGTTCATTGAGTAACTTGGCTTCAAGGAAAATCTTGATAAATTGTTAAAAGTTGAGACTTGATAGTCTGCATTTTCTGACAATACAATACAATAAAAAAAACCCAGCTAAAACATATTGTAATAATTTGGGAATGAAGAAACTCTCCTAAATAACTAAGAATCAAAGGGAAACATCAAGATGAATTTATACGTTTCATAAAGATGTAGTTAAAGAAACTTTACAACATTAACTGTATCCAGCATTAAACTTAAGAAAATAAGGGAAAGAACAGGAAATTACATCAAAATGTGGGGAAAAATAGAAAGTACCTAAAAAGAAAAAGAGAAAAAACTTAATATTAAAAGAGTAGGAGTATTAAAGAACCAAGAGCATTTCAAAACGTCCAATAAAATAGATAAACCTTTCAGACGCTTGATTGTTTTTTTTTTTTTTTTGAGACGCAGTCTCGCACTGTCGCCCAGGCTGGCGTGCAATGGCGCGATCTGGGCTCACTGCAACCTCCACCTCTTGGGTTCAAACGATTCTCCTGCCTCAGCCTCCCGAGTAGCTAGGATTACAGGTGCCCGCCACCACGCCCAGCTAATTGTATTTTTAGTAGAGACGGGGGTTTCACCATTTTGGCCAGGCTGGTCTCGAATTCCTGACCTCGTGATTCGCCCGCCTCAGCGGCCCAAAGTGCTGGGATTACAGGCGTGAGCCACCACGCCCGGCCCGCTTCTTTCTAAAGCGAGGGCGAAAGAATGAATGATATATAAATATAGTAACCGTAATGATAAAGGAGCTGCTAGTCTGGATATGAAAGAGAACAAAATGGAAATGGAAACATGCAATTCTATGGTAATGTATTCTTTAAATCTTTAGCAAAATATATCATGATAATGAAATAGAAACGAAACTGTAAACAGATCGGTAATATAAAAGAGGAAGCTAAGATGTACATCATTCATTCTTCATATCCCTCCTGAGTCCCCTGTCATCCTCCCCCACAACCCCATAGTCTGCCCTCACTCCGCCCGCAGATCCACCACCAGAGACCCCCCCATCCGCCCTCACTCCGCCCGCAGATCCACCACCAGAGACCCCCCCCATCCGCCCTCACTCCGCCCGCAGATCCACCACCAGAGACCCCCCAATCCGCCCTCACTCCGCCCGCAGATCCACCACCAGAGACCCCCCACAATCCGCCCTCACTCCGCCCGCAGATCCACCACCAAAGACCCCCCAGTCCACCCTCACTCCTTCCTCAGATTCACTCTCAAGAGATCGCTCTGACTCCCACTATTCCATCCATTGACGGTCCCCATCACTGCCCGCATGACTCACCACAGACATCAGAGATTCTTCTTGCTCAGTCCACAGATGCTGCCATCCCACCACTCACCTGCCTCTCACCTACGTTTTCTCAGGTCAGTGGTCATTTGTTCGGGAGGTGACTACAGTCGCAAGAACCTGAACGGGACCCACTTCCTTTTTCTTAATGCCTCCCAGGCCCAGCAGGACTTCTTACAGCGCTGCTAGGGTGTGCGCGCGCTCAGCAGTCTCCTTGGCCGAAGGTTGCCAGTAGTCAACATGGCGCTTTGCCAAACACGCTCCCTTTTCAGTGGCTTAGGCTGGGCGCCAGTATGGCGGCGCCCATGTAGACACTCTGGCCTGTGGGCGGCCATGTTGAGATGATGTAGAGACTGAGGGGCTGAGGGCTGTCCAGAGGAAAGGCAGCAAGTGGAGGTGTCTCCCGTCTTACTAAGCCAGAACACAATCAAAGCCTGTCTAACCTCATGTCTTTATTCAAAAAAGGATCACAGATCTCAATGTAAAAATATGAAATTTAGTGAAAAATTCTTCAGGACCTAGGACTTGATGAATAATTCTTAGATGTGATACCAAAAAGCAGAATCAATTATAATAATTTAGCAATTGTATTTTATCAAAATTTAAAACTTTTGCTCTGCATGAGAGCCTGTTAACGTAATGAAAAGACAAGGTAAAAACTAGGAGAAAACTGCAAACCACACCTTAGAAACCATATCTGACAAGGAGCTCATGTCTAGAAAATTCTTAACGTTTTCAAAAGTCAACAACAACAACAAAACAATGCAATTAGAAAATGGGCTAAAGGACTGAATAGATATTTCACTGAACAGGATATATTGATAGAAAATGAGAAAATAAAATAACTTTTAACAGAGGAATGCCAGTCCTTTTAAATTATCAAGCCCAGAAAGACATTAAACTGAGACAGCAGTCATTTTGAGCTACGTATTCATCTCTTGAAACTGCTTGCTATTGCCACAAGTAGCTATAAATTAACTTAATAATGTCATACTGGACATGATGACCCACACCCTAGACTTAACAATGTAGAGCCAATCAGTAATCAGTGTTATTTCTATAACAAATGAGAATTCCTGACAAATAACTTCGTATCAGCTCACTCCTTGTCTCCCTTTTTTGCTTTTAATAAAGGCCATGTAGAGTTCATATCCAGGGTTTCTTGGGTCTGAGTCTTTTGGGCAGCTGTTGTCACTTTCCTTTGTTGTTGTTGGAGAGACAGGATCTTGCTCTGTGTCTCAGGCTGGAAGACTAGAGTGCAGTGGTGCAATCAAAGCTCACTATAACCCTGATCTCCTAGGATCAAGTGATCCTCTCACCTCAGTTTCCCAATTAGCTAGGACTACAGCATGCATCACCATGCCTGGCTAATTATTTTTGTGGGTTTTTTTGGTAGTGATGGAGGTCTCACTGTGTTGCCCAGGCTGGTCTTGAATTCCTGGCCTCAAGCAATCCTCCTGCCTTGGCCTCCCAAAATGCTGGGATTACAGGTGTGAGCCACAGTGCCCAGCCCAACCTCTTACTTTTAGGTAAACAGAAATAAGCACATTAAAAGATTTGGTTCCATTCCCACATGTTAAGAGCCTGGATCCTCTCACACTTATATGAATTTTACCTCCAGGAGCGCCACCAAGTTGTCATTGTGAACAGAAGGTAAATTCCTTTGCGCACCTGGCAGGGAGAGAGGGATTGGGTTCTCTTTAAGAAAGACCTGCAATGGAGATGTAATCTTAGATTATACACTGCTTTCCCTTTACAATGCCTTACCATTATATCAGCAGGGCTCCAGGATAATAACTGTGGATTATAACTGAGAGAGCAGCAATTGTTCATTTAACAGGTATCTGAAAACAACAATATCAAAATATTCCTACCATTCAGTAGTCCGTTTAATGGGTATGAGGATACCTCAAGCACAATTTTGACTCAAATATTGCATCCTTAAAATATTATTAAGCTAAAGCTAGCTTAAATTCAAGAAACTATCCCCCTAAACAACATCTTTAGACAATATTCAGAATTAGCTCCCAATGTTAACAGTCCTAGTGCCCCTTGGACATTTTTCTTGACCGCCTAAAGCCAGAAGTTGCAAATAATGCATGTAAATTAAAAAGTGACTGAAAAAATTATCCCATCGTATTAACTTCAACATTTTGCCAAACATTTAAAGAGACTCGACATACCAAAAACAAACAAACAAAAAAACTCTCATAAGAAAATGTTTATCCTTTTTGCCTAAAAGAGAAATCATTTTGGTTAACATGGGAGGCACCCTCTACTTCATCTCTCTATTTGGGGCATTAATAATTTTGGCTTTCTTATTGAAGTAAAATATACATAGCAAAACTTACCATTTTAGCCATTTTAAAGTATACGGTTCAGTGGCATTAAGTCTTAACACATTAACATTGTTGTGAAGCCATCACCACCATCTGTGTCCCAGACATTGTTTTTCATCTTCCCAGTGGAATTTGTTCATGTTACCAACTGAATTTATACCTGTTAAGCAATAATTCCCCAATCCTTTTATGCCCAGACCTGGCAACCATCACTACACTTTGTCTCTACAATTTGACTACTCTAGGTACCTCACATAAGTAGAATCACGGTATTTCTCTTTCTGTATCTGGCTTATTTTACTCGGCACAGTTTCTTCAAGATTCATTAATATTGTAGCATGTATCAGAACTTTATTCTTTTCTAAGGCTGAGTACCTTCCCTAGTATTTATATGTCCACTTTTGTTAGTCCATTTGCCATGGATGGATGTTTAGATTGTTTCTACCTTCTAGTTACTGTGAAATGCTGCTATAAACATTGATGTGCTAGTAATAGTTTGAGTCCCTGCTTTCAGTTCTTTGGAGGTATATACCTATCTAGAAGTGGAATTGTTGGATCGTATGGTAATTTGATTTTTAAATTTTTGAGGAGCTGCCAAACTGTTTCCCACAGCAGCCTCACTATTTTACATCCCACCAGCAATGCATAAGTGTTCCAGCTTCTCCACAACCTCATTAACATTTGTTACTTATTTTTTTTGGATAATATACATTAAAATGGATGTAAAATGATATCTTATTGTGGCTTTGGATTAAATTTCCCTAGTGATTAGTGATGTGGAGCATCTTATGCATTTATGTATCTTCTTTGAAGAAATATCTACTTAAATCTTTTGCCCAGTTCTGAATCATCTCATTTGTATCTTTTGTTGTTGTC